TTTTGAGTACTTAGTCTTTTGGTCATTTGTTTCTTGTATAGGATTTGGTTCCGTGGTGCTTTGCTGAGCCGCTAAGAGTTCTGCTACGTCATTATATCTGGTTCTTAAGGCACATTCCCTTAACATTTGGATCGGGGTACCTTCTTTGCCAATTTTTAGATCGTTTACATAATTTTCTTCTCTAGTCATATGAGTATCTTCGTTGTCATCAGCATAATCTCCTTTAACTAATATGTCATTTGTCGAATTTAATGGAACCGGGTTTGGCACAACCTTGCTGAATATATTTTTAATCTTTGTACTAGGTCTGCCTTTACTCTTCAGTTGAAAGACCAAGGTTTTGCCAAATGTCTTCCAAATCGTTCTTTGATAGGTTTGAATTTGCTATAATGAACATATAATTTCTATATATTTTATATATGCTTTTTTTTTTTTTTTTTTTTTTTTGGTTACTACCGGGTAAAGATTTTTAGTTTTAGGTTTGGAATAGTTTTAATATCTTGTTGGTAAGGGTTTGTTAGGTTTGGGATAGTCTTATACTATTTTAGTATATATCTCTTTACTTTTTTTTTTTTTTTTTTTTTGGTTATTTCGATATATGTTTATATATTTCATTATATATATCGTTATATGTTGTTATATGTATTAGTATATATATTCTTGAGATTTCTTGTTTTCTTTATGAAAGAAGGTGCCACAGCACGAAAGAGCCAGAACAAATTCGAGCAGCAAAGAAAAAAGACACTGCCGATCCTAGGTTTCACAATTTCTTTTTTAATAGCCATTTCCAGTTTCATATTTGTTTTGGGATTGTCCAGGGGTGATTTTCGTGATAATAACCTTAGCATGACTATCATCATGCATCAGGTCATACGCATATTTACTTTTAAAGCATCTTCGTTGGCAAATGAATAAAAAATTTAGAAGGTTATTAATTCAAAAATTGTTAAACACTTAGATGTTAGCAAATCTTTTACAAATCGAGTTCTCAAGCACTTAAAAGAAATAGATATATTAAAAAATTTTGTAATTCATTTTCGACAAATACATATGGGTCCTTACGATAATATTATATATGTTATAACTAGTTGTTTAACATTGTATATACACATAATACATATCAGATATCAGATATTACACAAGAATTAATTACATGAAAGATTATGATAGAAAATTCAAGATTTTAAAAATTTAAAAAATTTTATTTTCAAAAATGTTACTTTACACTAATGAATTTTGAAAACATCTACTTCGTAGTGAATATTTCAAAACCTATTTTATACTGCAATAAATATTTTGCTAGAACGTAATTTTACAGAAAGATTTTAATAAACACTTTCAAAACACCTTATAATCTTTCCAAAATAATAACGATCCTTGTGTTTAATACAAGTAGCCTAAAATTTTGTACACGAATAACTTAAAGATTTTGTCACGAATAGCTTAAAAATTTGTACACAAATAACCTAAATGTTTTAAACAAAATAACAATATTTTGTAATTATAAAAGTATTAAGAATATGTATATAAAAATAAAAAATATAGTATAAAAGATCATGTTTACAGTTAATATATTTACTTACTGTAAATTCTACTGAAAACCAATTCCCAAATAGTTAATATATCAAAACAATCTAAATGTTTAAATAAAGTACAAGCGAAAATATAAAAATAATAAAGACAAGGACGAAAAACAGGGTATAAAATTTTACTAATATTTTAAACACCTTGTAAAGTATTATAACTACCAAATAGCTAACCACCCTTTAATTGTTGTGGAGTTAATTTTGTAAAAAACAAATTCCTAACAGATTAATACACTAACGATTTTAAGAACTTTTTTTGAACGATAGTTTGTGATTGGTTAAAATAACATTTCATCATAGGGTTTATTTTTAATATAAGACAAATTCATATGGAAAGGACAAATCAGCTTTTAGTAAAATTTTTTTAATTTTTAAATTAAAATATCTCAACTCTAAGTAATCAAATTTGATAAAAATTTTTTAGAATTATATAGAATTAAAATAAAAAAAATATTAAATTTGATTAGATAGTTGTTGAAATATTTAAGTTTAAAGAAAACTTCGAAAAAGTTTTTATTGACTTCCCTCTAAATGTTTAAGTCTTGATTTTTTAATATCTAACTTTGTAATATTAGCATTTATTTATGTAATATATTTATTATAAAGACGAATTTATATTCAGAGCCTTTTTTGTATTTCTTGATAGTTTTTTATAAATTTCATACAAACTAAACACACCAAACATGTTGGGTAAATATTCAAACTATACATGCCAATAAAATTATTTTGGGTTTTAGAATATGAAATTAAAATTTGAAGATGAAATTGTTTTTGACCTATTTTACTTAAAAGATAAAATTTTTTGACACTTTTTTTGAAAAGACAAAATTATAAAGAATATAACTACCTAAATTAGATTTGCTCTTGCATATAAAAAATTCCAAATTGCTCTAATAGAGATGAAATAAGGTTTTTTTGAAAACCTATTTTGGTGGTATGTATAATTCTAGATAGTTGTTGAAATATTTAAGTTTAAAGAAAACTTCGAAAAAGTTTTTATTGACTCCTCTCCAAATGTTTAAGTCTTGATTTTTTAATATCTAACTTTGTAATATTAGCATTTATTTATGTAATATATTTATTATAAAGTCGAATTTATATTCAAAGCCTTTTTTGTATTTCTTGATAGTTTTTTATAAATTTTATACAAACTAAACATACCAAACATGTTGGGTAAGTATTCAAACTATACATGCTGATAAATTATTTTGGGTTTTGGAGTACAAAATTAAAATTTGAAAATGAAATTGTTTTTGACCTATTTTATTTAAAAGATGAAAATTTTTGACACTTTTTTTGAAGAGACAAAATTATAAAGAACATAACTTCCTAAATTAGATTTGCTCTTGCATAGAAAAAATTCTAAATTGCTCTATTAGAGATGAAATAGGGTTTTTTTAAAACCTATTTTAGTGGCATGTATAATTCAAACAAAAAAATTTAATATTGAACGTGTTAATATTATACTAGAAACATAGTGAAATGGGTGTATTGAGTTTTGCGTTTGTATACAAATCTTGAGTTTGATTTGATATAGTAACCTTATGATCTATGTATAATTGTTGGTTCTCATGATATAACAATCACACGATATATCACACTTAACTTTTTTATATATAAAATTATAGTAAAAAACATATAGAATGATATATAAACTTTGTTACGATGATGTTTTTCAACTTACATATTAACTTTAAATTAAATTTTACAAATAAATATATTATAAAAAAGAGAATAAAATGTTTTCTAAATTGAATTAAAATTTTGCAATTTTGATATAATTTAAAAATATAAATCAGCCAAAAGAAAAAATTTAATAGTTTTAAAGTAAGAAATATATATAAAATTATACTCTGAACAACTTTCTGTTAGGGAGTAAAAAGGTTATCTTAGTAAAAAAAAGTTTGCTATATACTAATGTCAAAATTTTCAGTTTTTCTATGTAAAACTTTTTTTCTACTTAGATAATCTGTTTTGACCTCTTAAGCAAATTTGTTCAGCACATAATTCTACATACTTTATATCTTGCCGATTTTGTTTTTTCACACTTTTTACTAAGTGAAAGATTAGATCAAAGATTATATGAAAAATTTTTTTTAAATTTTTTTTTAAAACCAATTTTTTGTATACCCTTTGATCTAATTTTTCACTTAGTAAAAAGTGTGAAAAAGTAAAATTGGCAAGACATCAAATATGTAGAATTATGTGCTAAACAAATTTGCTTAAGAGATCAGAACAGGTTATCTAAGTAGAAAAAAAGTTTTACATAGAAAAACTAAAAATTTTGATATTAGTACATAGCAAACTTTTTTTTTTACTAAGATACCTTTTTTACTCCCTAACAAAAAATTATTCAGAGTATATATTTCTTACTTTAAAACTGTTAAATTTTTTCTTTTGGTTGATTTATATTTTCAAATTATATCAAAATTGCAAAATTTTAATTCAATTTAGAAAATATTTTATTCTCTTTTTTATGATATATTTATTTGTAAAATTTAATTTAAAGTTAATATATAAGTTGAAAAACATCATTATAACAAAGTTTATATGTAATTCTATATATTTTTTACTATAATTTTATAAAAAAGCCAGCATTACCAATAATCGAGAATGCAGTCACATGATCTTCAGATCTTGATTGATTTGCTTATAATTGTTGCGTCTATAATAGTTACGTATAGCGTATAGTATATGATTTTAAATATCATAACGATCATAATACTGTAATAGTTTGAGCTTGTTACTTATTATTTACAGTATTGTACAAACTTTTCAAAAATTTATTTGCAATAGAAGAAATAAAAAATAACTCTGTAGTTGAAATAAAAACATGTACTAGATACAATTGTACCAAACCACTTGCAGATTTTACCATTGGTAAAGAAACTTATTCCTATTGCAAAATTTGTCATAACAATACATCACAAGCAAAAAAATGAAAAAGGCAAGAAATTGATAATTATATAATTGAAAAGAAAAATATATTCGATCTTGCAGAAAT